AATAATATTCAGATTCAGTTACGCAAAATTATTTTTTGATTTTCTCCTAATTTACAATAATTTAGCATATTATTTGTAAATATTAAAATTTAATACCAAATTTATAAGTAAAAGTATCAAACAAAAATTTTATACAATAGTTAAAATTTTTCATCAAACTGTAAATCATATATGATTTTTCAATTTGCTACATGCAAAGTATCATTTTTTTACTAAACAAATTGATTTTATTCGTCTACGACCACCAATATCGCCAATAAATTACCAGGAATATCACGAGAAAGATGACGACAGGTGGTCCATACTTGCGATAAAGAAGTTGCAAATTGAGATCCCGTGCAGACTTTTTGTATTTTTGGGATTCGTAACGAAGTTGATCAGAAAGTGAACTCATCTCTGCAAATTGTTTAATCGATTAGTTAAAACGGTCTTTTAAGAGAGTTAAAAGGATTCAATTCTTCAAAAAAACTCACTGTCTAAACCCTCGCCACGCCAAAGCACATTCTCTAAATTTTTCGTCATGATATTTGCGACCTCACTCAATTCTGTATTTAGTCGATCAAGATTATGCTGTGTTCGGGTGTTTTGATACACTTTCTTGGTCTTTTGCATAAAAGTATCTATGAAGAGAGGTTATTTGAGTAAAAATTTATTCATTTTACTGGATATTGCCATAAAAAAAAGCCAAAAGGAAAGTTCACCAAATTTAACAAACGCGTATGGTCTCAAATTTTTTTTCTCTATCTCATTTCCATACAGCGTATAAAACTCTTTGGCAAGTTCGTCTAAATAACTGAATGCCAACTGCCGTGGGTATGATCGATCACTAATTGTCATGTAGCATACACCGTTTTGTATAATGTAACTTTTTTATGTGTGTTTAAATTGAATTGACGAAGTAAGTCAATATGTAATTAATAATGAATTGAAAAGTTTGTGAGTGAAAGATTAAAGAAATCAAAAAAAAATGAACCGTCAAATTTTAAAAAATGAACTCAAACGAGTATCATCACTTACTGAAAATAATAATTGCCCGACTCTATCGAGCACTTGTCTTCCGAGTGCTCATTCATTTTTTTAAAGATAAGCTTGGCTTTTTGCTTGTACTCGGTTAACTCTGCCTCACCTCCCTGAAAAATTCCAGTCAAAAACAAGAAAAATAAAAGGTTTACTTTTTCTGATAGTAATTCAGTAAAGAAGTCTGCTGCAAAAAA